CCTGTTTATGCTCTAGAAGTAGTTAAGTCTCTCAGTGTTTCAACACCTTGATATAAATTTACATAGTTTGCTGTGTTATTTTCAGAAATGTGTTTGTATAGTGATGGTATTTTTTTTGAACAAAATAATCACAGTATGTTTAATGTAAACTATAAAATGGATGGAAGAAATATGTAGCATAAGAAAACTACTGTAGTAAACTAAATAATATTTGTTATATTTTATATCCATAAGAGCTATCAGCTCCAGGAGAAATATTAGCGAGAGGTCCTGAAGCCATTAAAGCATTCACATATGAAGTCCAGAATGGGGAAATTATGATGGTTAATTCCAGAGTGATGTTTCTAGGCAAAGAAGGAGTTGGCAAAACCAGTTGTGTCCGTTCCATGCTTGGCAAAGTGTAAGTACAAAATAAGGCCTTGTTTTTTTAGGTAATTGTACAGTCTTTTGTCTTATAACAATATTCTTATAGTATATAGGTTCATATATGTTCATTACTCTCCTAGGCGACTGACTATCCAGGATTATTTTTCCAATTGTTTAAAGAATTTTAAAAGGGCATTTCTGCCCATTGGCTCTTGATATAACTCTAATTTTAAAAAGCTTTAATTTTCTACTTAGTATGCATTATATACAATTCTACACCACACACACACAACACATCAATATAGCACAGTACATATGACACTATTTTGTTACTGAGTGCTTCCAGAGCTTGTTGCACTCTATTATGGCTATTTCAACTGTTATTGAAAAACTAATTTAATGTTCTATAAAAAAAATACTACAAACTTAAAAAGGTTAATGTACAATGTAAGTAAAAAATTATCAATCATTGTTATCTGGAGGTCGTGTCAAAGGGCAAAAATCAATCCTGTGATATGCATAAGGTTCATAAGAATACTATACATTTGTACTCTTATATTTCAGTTCCTTTATTATTCTTATAACTTTTTATTTTAATGTTATTTTCTGTTTGACCTGTTTATGCTCTAGAAGTAGTTAAGTCTCTCAGTGTTTCAACACCTTGATATAAATTTACATAGTTTGCTGTGTTATTTTCAGAAATGTGTTTTACACTGATGGTATTTTTTTTGAACAAAATAATCACAGTATGTTTAATGTAAACTATAAAATGGATGGAAGAAATATGTAGCATAAGAAAACTACTGTAGTAAACTAAATAATATTTGTTATATTTTATATCCATAAGAGCTATCAGCTCCAGGAGAAATATTAGCGAGAGGTCCTGAAGCCATTAAAGCATTCACATATGAAGTCCAAAATGGGGAAATTATGATGGTTAATTCCAGAGTCATGTTCCTTTGGAAAGAAGGGGTGGGCAAAACCAGTTGTGTCCGTTCCATGCTTGGCAAAGTGTAAGTACAAAATAAGGCCTTGTTTTTTAGGTAATTGTACAGTCTTTGGTCTTATTACAATATTCTTATAGTATATAGGTTCATATTGGTTCATTACTCTCCTAGGCGACTGACTATCCAGGATTATTTTTCCAATTGTTTAAAGAATTTTAAAAGGGCATTTCTGCCCATTGGCTCTTGATATAACTCTAATTTTAAAAAGCTTTAATTTTCTACTTAGTATGCATTATATACAATTCTACACCACACACACACACACAACACATCATACTAAAAGTCTGAAAAATCCAATCAGGAGAGCATTGTCTGTTTTAAAGATAATGGGTTAACATCCAACAGTTAAATGTGTCGATTTGCACAATTACTGCTTTGAAGTAAATAATTGTCTGTTGTTGCTAAGAAAAAAATTTAATAAAGAAAGTTAATAAGATAGACGCCTGTGTAAGTATATAAAAGTCTGTTGTTGCTAAGAAAAATATTTAATAAAAAAAAACTTAATAAGGTAGAAACATGTGTAAGCACATAAAAATCTGTTGTTGCTTACAAAAAAATTAATTTAAAAAAAGGTAATAAGATAGACGACCGTGCACAAACCAAAGGCGGGGAACACATTAGTTTGGCGCCAAAGGGATCTGTTGTTGAGTGACTCCTCAATGATATATCCATGTTAATACTGTGCAATACTAAACAAACTTACTCTTCAAGGTTGTCCATTGTTTCTCTTGGCCTTGTGATGACACAGCCTTGACCTGAACTGTTACCACCGAGGATGAAGTAAGATGGAGCAAGAAGTTCCTCAGTCATGATGGAATTCCTGGCTGCCTTATAACTGCAGATTCATAATATATAAAGAAAATTTAATAAAAAGTAATTAAAGTAAGTCCTCTTGTATTGCTGTCAACTTATTAATAAAGTATTATATTTCTGTTAATAATTATTTTAAAATGATATAAATAAATAAAAAATTAAAGTTTAAATGCTCTCCTATTTAGATTGAGACCATATAAATGCTCCCACATGAAGAACTGTTCTTTGTGCACCAGAAACGGTTTTTAGGGGTTCTATTCAAGTCTAACTTGATTTGGTAACAAAGACCCATTCTTCAGGATATCAAAAAGTGTGGGCTTTTTTTTTACAGTACCATTTCCAAGGGAAGGGAAGGGGAGGTGGCTGATTTCCCCGACGAGAAAAAAATGGACATGGCCGGGTGTCGCTAACAACCTTTTCAAAGTAGTCCAGGGGACGTAGCCCCCCACCCTAAAACATTGTGACAATTTAGGGGGTATCAAAGGCTTTTTAAATCTAGTTTAGAGCCTAAAGTTTTCAGAATATTCATCGTAAGAAGTGCTTATTTAAAGCCCTCCCATGCCCCTTTATTCTGAATACTAATAATCGGATTCGAAACTATTTTAGGGTGTATTCGGTCTCATGAGCTCTTCTAAAATAATCAAGAAAAATGAACCACAAAAAAATTAACAATTGCAGTAGCGGGTCGGGGCATTCGAACCGGGGGATGGGGCAGGGAGGGATTTTTACAGGTGGAGTGCAAAGACCCAAAAAAAATTATAATTTATGATAAGAAAATTTATGATAATAGCACTTCTAGATGGCCAGAAATGGCACTCACAGACTGAAATTTTAATACAATTCCCTTTTTCCCCCATTTCTTTTGTAATTTTAAAAAAATTATGGGGTGGGGCCGGGCCGACTGGGGCACCCTTGAATACACCACATTTTAAATTAACACAATATAATCAATAATTACCACCATCCAACTGGAATCTCTCATTCATAGACAATGTCAACACTCCCAAAATAAAGTCAATATGATTTAATATTAGGGGAGATAAAAATAGCTACTTACAACAGTTTAGGCGATGGTGATGACGGCGACGGTGATGACGGCGACGACGATGACGGCGACGACAACAGCATTGAGGATGACGACAATGGTAATTATGAGAACCAGTTCACTTTATTGTGTGATATTTTCAGTAGACCGTAAAGGATCACCACCATTGCCATTGTCATCGTCATCAATGCTGTCTTCATCACTATCGCCGTCTTCATCATATGACGTGTGATAAAAAATAGAACTTTATGATAAAGAAAACAAATAACAAAAAGATGTTATAAGAAAGCTAAGAGGGGGTATAAAGAAGATTGCATGCTTACAGGTTTTACACCTGTTAATACGTCGATGTAGCCGGTAAAATAAACAGCACGGGCTACAGTCTTACCCCCAGACTGGTAGTCTACATTTATGATTAGTGGACGAAGTTTCTCAGTCAGTGCCCATTTGTCATTATCTGTATCCCAACTGTTCTAGTAAAAAAAATCAATCAACGAAAAATATTACAGAAAGGGAAATACACGACATGATTTTTTTTTATTAAACATGTCTGAAACATGGTATAGACAGAGAAAAAGTCTGAATCATTGAAAATGTATGCCCTAAGAATGACCCCCACAATGATCTCACAATGCTCTACTTCATCAGAAAAGATCAACTCAATAACACACCTCGTTGAAATCGTAAGAATGCTTTACTTACCCAATAAAGAGACCAAAGTCCAAGTTCCGAGCATGATACAATGTCCCTATAAAAAGGATTATCAATTTAAATTGATAAACAAAGTGCTATACTGAAATCTTTTTCAAGATATGAAAAAATTATGAAATAATGGCCCCTTACAAATTACTTTTTATACTTTTAGGCCTGTTCATCTATGTTCTCAGCAGTACAACACAAACAGATTAAACCAATCCTTGATGCAAAATTTAGCACATCTTTCTATTTTTTATATATTTCTTTATGTACAATAGCACCTTTCTTTTCAGATGCGAAGTGCTTTTTTACGCAGGTCAGAGCGTTCATATTCTACAAGTGTCGCTGTTGTAATTAGCGCAGGAGCAGGCAACCCCACTACATCCCCACTGATGGATATTTACTAAAATATCTTACCATTGGGAGCCTCAGCAATGATTGAAGTACATAGAGTAAATATTTCATAGAAAACATTGAACAATAACAGATATATCAATTAGTTAATATTAATTATTATGTCAAGGATCAAAACAAATAAATACATCATATACATTTATAATTTGCATAAATATGTTAAAGTTCAAGAAATCATGCATTAATTGATTGTGTTCGTTGAGGGGGGAGAGGGGTGCTTATGAATATTTTTAATGTTTCCAACTTACCAAGAGGAATATCCGCTGCTGTAGCAATACCCTTCGTCTTATCACCTTAAGGGGCTGGTATCTGATCTGTCAGCTGGGCCTATTGGGAAACAACCACAGCATTGAAGAGGGGAGCATGACGAAAGGGTTGTAAACTCGCATCACCAGGTTTCGAGAAAAAGGGCTAAATAAACAGTATAACATGTAATTTGAGCAAAATGTGATTATGTCATAAATATAAAGTATTACCTTTTATCTTAATATTTTTGAAGTTTAGATTCAATATCTCAACTCTAAACCCTAAAATTTTGTAATTTTAAGAAGAAACGTATATAAATTCACCAACTTTCAAGCCGCCATACTTCGCTTCCAAACAACTTTTTCACTACACAAAATTCAGGCCCTAAAATAGATAAAATAATGAAAACTATCAGATATAATAATACGTTTATTAGTACTCGTATGCTATGTATGTGATTTCAGAATAAACAAATAGTATAGCTATAAAATAGTAGAATGGTCGGTTCTTGGTAGTGAAGTAAATCTAAAACTATTTATGAAGTCATTCAAAATCGTGTACAAAATAGTTGAACAAACTTTAAAGTGTATACATAAATGAAGGAAATAGCCTTGAATTAATTCAAATAATACTAAACTGTTTAATGACTTGTTGAAAAAGGAAAACAATCCTCTTGCCGTCTGGCAGTGAAGCGGATCAGAACTTATACAGATTGCGGTTGATTGCATGTTAAGAAACTAGTCGTGGGTACTGAACCTTCAAAAAAATTGACGCCAACAGAACGATCATCTGCACTATTTTTAGCGATGTGAAATTAAAACGTATTGATGAAGTATATTCACACAACGTCAATCAAATCGTGTACAAAATAGTCAAACAACTTTAAAGAATCAAACAATAACGTGCGTGTCGACATTACAAATTGCTTTAGAAATATATCTTCAAAAGTAATTTTCTAAAGCATAGCACCATGGTACAGACTATCTAAATGAAAACAATAACCTTGAAGTAATTCAAAAGATACAAAGCTGTTCGTGTCTTGTTTTGTAAAAAATAAATGATCTTGCAGTGAGGCAATTATGATGTATGCCAAAATATTTAGTACTAAGGATAGTCTGTACAGTGGTGCTATGCTCTAGAATATTACTTTTGAAGATAATTTCTAAAGCAATTGTAATGTCAACACGCACGTTATTGTTTGAATCTTTAAAGCTGTTTAACTATTTTCTACATGATTTGAATGATGATGTGTGAATATACTGTACTTCATCAATACGTTTTAGTTTCACATCGCTGAAAATAGTGCTGATGATCGTTCTGTTGGCGTCAATATTTTTTTAAAGTTACAATAACCCCAACTAGTTTCTTAACATGTACTCAACCGCAATCTACATCATTTCTGATCCGCTTCACTGCCAGAGAGCTTTCCAAATCTTTTCATAATATAATTTAATTTAATAATTTAATTTGGTGTTGAGTATGTGTTTCATACATAATGAAACACATACATGATGAAACCGGTAGTTCGAAACAGATTTGTTACCACCTCCCGATGCTACAATGTAGCTTGCATCAATATAAATCCTGATAATTTCACTTGTAAATACTTGCTTAATTCTGAATATGTTGTAGTTAATGTTTACAAATTAAAAAAAAAAAGAATCCAAACCTCCGTAACCCTATTCCGTCCCTTTTTCATCCACACCCTGACAAAACACTCTCCATCAAGGCTTGACGAATAAAACACTTCTTATGTCTACTAAATTCATCAGAACAATGGGGATGCCATAATAGATACATAGATGCTTTAGCTTTATAAAGGTATAACCAATTTTCCCCGGGGTATCACTAATTAACCCCCTGGGGTATCGACTTAAAAATAGAAGATCTCTGTTCTCCAACCTATTTCCAGCAAACCGTAGAAATACAGCTCTTGATGATAGGCGGTTTAAACGTAGACTTGGAAGTATTTCAGCAGTATCAAGGGGTAAGAGTTTTGTTTTAATTATTGATTCAGTTAATGTGGTTTACTATACCAGTGTATCTCCCTGGTATAACAGTAATAACTATGTAGTATATTTTGTAGGAACAAGGAGGTATTTAGTAAGGACATAAAGAGGCCTAGACCCTCTATTACTACAGAACTAGCTGAGCATACAGCCCGCTGGCCTAGGCCGTAGGGAGGTCCTTTTGTTGACCAAGCTAAAAAAAGGTCGGACGAATTGCCATGTGTAGGTATTGATTTATTCGTTTCATCTGTTTCTAACGTTATTTGCGTAATAATTTCGGACATAAATTATATCTTTATTCATATAGGCCTTGACGTAACTTTTATTATACTAATCATTTGTAACTTAGCCTTAGGCTAATTAAATTTATATTCGGCAAAATAATGCCAAACATTATTATAAATGTGTTACATCCATCATAACATATTTCTTTTCTTTCAATAATTTCAGAAATATTTAATCGCTTAACATTCTCAAAAAAAAAAAAAAATCTTGCATACAAAATTGCAATGCAAATACAATTCATCTAAAATATGAATTCAGCAGAAATGTAATTAAAACAATAGTTAAATATGTTCCCAATATTCTTTCATTATGCAATGTTAATGACTAAATATTCTTATTTTTTTATTAAACTTTCTATAAATGATCAAATAGTTTCATATGGTTTGAAATAGTATAAGGTGATTAATATATGTATGTGTAGCGTCTCCACTATTTGTATTTAAACCGCAATATTTAATTTGTATGTAATCTTTTATATTTCATTTATAAAAATTACTCTATGTATATTACTATATTCAGCGTAAAGGTCAACTAAGGACAGCAACCTGTTTTCTTATGGTACCAGGAACTTAGATGACAAATAAGTCAGGAATGTACCATGGCTAACTTATCCCACTTTTATAAACCTAAAACAATGACGTCATATAATCATCCTTTCGTCTATTGGAAAGGGCTAAAAACTATTTTGAGGGAGATCTTTTTTTTTTAATTTAAGGCGCGGGTCGGCGAGACATTAATTATCCGTGTTTTTAGCTTATTTATTTTATAAACAATCGACGTATGTGGGACATTATGAAACTTTTTTTTTCTTAGGCCTACTGTATAACCAGAATGATTTTATTTTCTAATTGCACTTGTCAATTTTATTTTAAAAAGTCTTGCCTCGTTGAGTAAACCCGAACCGAGCTACAAACATTGTTTCTAAAATTAATTAGCTGTTGGTTGTATTGCTCACCCCTAGCCTTCCACAGCTTTGAAGAGAAGCACATGTTCTGTTGCGTCGCTGAAATGATAAGACTACCATTAAAGTGTAGGGTAAAATATTATAATTATTTTCAAAAAAAAAAAGCTTTTCTAATGTATTCATAAAACTAAATCAATTAAAAATGCTTGGTCCCATGTAAATTAAATATGGGCATGCCTTGTAACTGCCCATATACTTGGCATATGGGCTTCATTTTGATTAAATACGGGCTTCTCGTATTTTCCTGCCCATGTATTTGGCATATGGGTCCCATATATGGGCATGCCCATAAGTATTATCCAAGATTACGCCCTTGTATGGTTAATGTACAAATGTAAAAATGGTGCTGCTCCTTCCCGCCTATGTAATGATATAGAAATGGTTGTTGATCGACATAGATATTCTACGAGATAGCTCACTCGCTTAATGTTATCCCCCCCCCCCCCAATTCCAAATAACTATAAAATTTACCAAACTTCGTAAAATATCCGTAGGTTGGGTATGAGGTAAGAAAATATATGATTATGGCACCTCTATATGGCCAGAGATGGTGGGGATGGGGGTGGTGGCGCTTGGGGGAACCATGCTGCTGGGATAGAGGTGGTGGTGGAGCTCAGACATTTTTGAAAATTACAACAAATATGAAGTCATATTACAGTAGCTTGATGCCTATGAAATAACTTTTTAAAATAACTATAAAATTTACCAAACTTCGTAAAATATCCGTAGGTTGGGTATGAGGTAAGAAAATATATGATTATGGCACCTCTATATGGCCAGAGATGGTGGGGATGGGGGTGGTGGCGCTTGGGGGAACCATGCTGCTGGGATAGAGGTGGTGGTGGAGCTCAGACATTTTTGAAAATTACAACAAATATGAAGTCATATTACAGTAGCTTGATGCCTATGAAATAACTTTTTAAAATAACTATAAAATTTACCAAACTTCGTAAAATATCCGTAGGTTGGGTATGAGGTAAGAAAATATATGATTATGGCACCTCTATATGGCCAGAGATGGTGGGGATGGGGGTGGTGGCGCTTGGGGGAACCATGCTGCTGGGATAGAGGTGGTGGTGGAGCTCAGACATTTTTGAAAATTACAACAAATATGAAGTCATATTACAGTAGCTTGATGCCTATGAAATAACTTTTTAAAATAACTATAAAATTTACCAAACTTCGTAAAATATCCGTAGGTTGGGTATGAGGTAAGAAAATATATGATTATGGCACCTCTATATGGCCAGAGATGGTGGGGATGGGGGTGGTGGCGCTTGGGGGAACCATGCTGCTGGGATAGAGGTGGTGGTGGAGCTCAGACATTTTTGAAAATTACAACAAATATGAAGTCATATTACAGTAGCTTGATGCCTATGAAATAACTTTTTAAAATAACTATAAAATTTACCAAACTTCGTAAAATATCCGTAGGTTGGGTATGAGGTAAGAAAATATATGATTATGGCACCTCTATATGGCCAGAGATGGTGGGGATGGGGGTGGTGGCGCTTGGGGGAACCATGCTGCTGGGATAGAGGTGGTGGTGGAGCTCAGACATTTTTGAAAATTACAACAAATATGAAGTCATATTACAGTAGCTTGATGCCTATGAAATAACTTTTTAAAATAACTATAAAATTCACCAAACTTCGTAAAATATCTGTAGGTTGGGTATGAGGTAAGAAAATATATGATTATGGCACCTCTATATGGCCAGAGATGGTGGGGATGGGGGTGGTGGCGCTTGGGGGAACCATGCTGCTGGGATAGAGGTGGTGGTGGAGCTCAGGCATTTTTGATAACTTGAGGTCATATTTAATCGATTTCAGAAGATGTATACTGTTTTAGTGGCGGATCTAAGCATTTGATGAAAGGCCAGGGAGGGACTTCGTACATGGAGGAAATACCACTGTCAGTGGCGGTTTTAGGAATTTGATATAGACGGGGGAAGGGAAGGATTTTACAGATTGAGAGCAATGCAGTAGCCAACTATTGCGACAGTTGGGATAGTCCCAGACAATGATTTTTCTAATGGGTCTACATTTTAAAAAAAGGCCCAAATTATGCAATTGCATGCATAAAATGAGTCCACTTTATGAAAAATTGGTACAGATTTATATTATTTAGCCACATTATTTGAATTTACGTGTAAAATGGGTCCACCCACAGCCCTAGCATGGTTGGGGCTGACGTAAGAATTCATGATTATGGCATCTCTAGATGGCCGGAGAAGGCACTCTCAGACTTAAATTTTAATATAAATTTCTTTTCTTTTTAAAAATAATTTTGACAAATTAGGCGGGAATGGTGATATTCTACCCTCGAAAATGTGGACCTTTAGTAATTTGTGGGGGGTGCGCACCACACCCCCCTGCGTACGGGCCTATCATGGTCGGGCGTTGACGCTAAGCAAGTAATTTTTTTGTCTTGCCTAATAGGCCTAATGGTTCCTGTGGATTCTTTTTCG